AGATCGCATTGCTCGATCTTTGATAATAGCCATTAACCGATTGGCGGACGTGAGGTGAATCGTTGGACGATCTCGTGCTCGCGGGAAGAATGCCGGCTGGCGAAAATGGAGGAGCGCCGGTTTCGCATAGTTCTCGAAGTGAACAGTGACATTTCGTTGGTGCACGATCGATGAAGTGAAACCTTGACTCGATTCGTCCGACGAAAATTTACGATCCATCCATTAATCTTTATTATAACTTGAATTCCTTGAAATATATTTTTAGAAAAGTTATAGAGGTTGGAGATTTTTATAATAAATTAAATTTTTATGAGTATGATTCAAAGAAATGAAGTTTTCTCTTGCCTTCTTACGCGTTATAACGCGTATTTTAGATTTTGTAATTAGATGGAAATCATTATATTTAAATTTTGTGATAAATCAAATCTTTATGAATTTTGTGTATCATATCTTATCTTTTTGTATAAATATTTGCAGGCTAATTATAATATTCTATCAATTAATAAGTGTTATTTGTTCAGATATTTTGGCAGTGAGAATGAATACAAATAATAATATATTTTCATAATTTCTTTTTAATATAAAATAGTTTAATAATTTCAAATATTAAAAAGATCAGATATTTCATTTTGACGCCATTTCTCTGAACGATATCAAATTTTGCAGCAGACGACAGTTATTAGAGGTAATAAAAGATAAAGTATTAAAGTTTCCAATAGTTACTTTTTAAAAATTAATTGATCATCTCCTCTTACGATAATAATCAAGAAATATTCAACTTCAAGATTGTTTTCTGACAATAAATGTTATCCGTGGCAAATAAGGACAATCTTAAAAAGCTTTCGACAGAAAAATAAAGGATTTAAAAAGTTTCTCGCGAGAAGATAAAACATTCTAAGTTTTGTCTTGAATAAAAATATTGGCATAAAAGTTAAAAAAGCCACGATCGATAGTATCGATGCCAATATTGATAAATATTGTGAGTGAAAATTTTTATTTCGAAAAATAATATATTCAAACCTATCTTATAATTTTTAAGTAAAAACAGAAAAAAAATGTGTAACAAAGAAAATAATATAAAATTTCAATTTTCGATTATGCTTTAAAATTATATATATAGATAAAAAGATAAAAACAGGTTATTGAAATGTGAGATTACAAATTATAAAAATTGTATGTAAAAAATGTAATTAACAAATGCATTTCAAAATCGATTCTCGATTTCATACTGTGGTGCAGTAACAACCAATACACACACAGCACGATCCTGGAATCAGTGGAGCATGAACACTAGAATGTTGAGAATTTCATTCCATCCCTAATTTCCCTAATTTTACTCTGACCACTATAAGATTCTTTACATATTTTTAACTCAATGCATTATTATGTATTAAATACCCGTAAAAAACATATAAAAAAAAATATAAAAAATATAAAATATAATATTATAATTATATATAAATAATATAAAATTATATATAAATAATATAAAAAAAAAGATTTACCATTTTTTAAAAAATTATATTGCATAAACAGATTATACTTTCCTCATGCAATCTTTTTTTTTTTTTACTTATTGTAATTAAACACGTGTAATAAAAATTTAAAAAACTTCAAAAGTAAACTTCTAAAAACGTTCCGTTCTTAATCCAAATGTTCAAACATTGTTACCATTGGCAACTAGCCTTATGAGTGCATAGACAACAAATTGTAGAATACGCAAAGCACGAGCCAGTAAATACATTCGAAAGATCTCTCCGTGCAGGGGATCTGTGCAAAGGGCGATCTCGAAAAAAGGCGCTCTCTCGAGCATTCTCCAAGATCGAAATTCTCAAGACCTTTTGTTTGGGAGTGCCGAAGCTGCTCCATTCCAAGACAAAGCTCTCTCCTTCCTTTTTGCACGCGTCTACGTACTTTCCTCCCTGCCTTGCCCTAAACACATGCACGTACACAAACACGTACGTGTATAGAGTGTTCCAGGTTTCTCCTTATAAGCTTTGTTTAAATTCTACATAAGTGAAAAGAAAGATTAAATGAAAAATATCATGTAAAAAAATAAAAAAAAAAGTAACTATAAATTCATTAAAGAATATGTAATGTTCAATAAAATAGAAAAATAAAAGTATATATTTTTAATATTTATAATTATATATATATTTATAATATATTTAATTATAATAATTATTTATAATTAATATAATTATAAATTACATATAATTATATAATTATAATATAATTTATAATTAATAATTATTTATTATGTATTATTATGTAATTATATTTATTAAATATTATATAATATTATTAATATAATTATTAATTACAATAATAAATTGTAAAAATATGAAACAGTATGGATAAAAATATTATTTTTATATAAATATTATTAATTTTATTTTTATATAATATATTATATAACATATCATTAATTACAATAATAAATTGTAAAAGTATGAAACAGTATGGATAAAAATGTTATTTTTATATAAACTTTAATATAAATTCTACATTATATATTAAAAATTGGAATATCTATAATATATTTTACAAAATGCAACAAATTAAATTTATGATCAATTCAACGTTGGTATATTGATATCAGATATGTGTTATAATAAAGACAGACGACACTCTGAATTGGAATATTTCATCTATCATCATATCTCATTTGTATCATCATTTATCATTATTATATACTATCATCTATTATTTGCAACATGTTTCATACTTTTTTTTATCTTTTATTTCATTAATATATATAAGATTGGTCGACTTTCCATTACGTTTCAATCTTATTTTTACTCGAACAAACCCTTATCGACAAAGTTTGGGGGATAAGAATGAAACCTGAGACATCTCGTTGTCTACGATGACAATTGAACGAGATCTCGGTACAGCCGCCTAGCTCTTTGTACTTGCGTACAACGTACCACGCGTGCCTTTTTCTCACGTCAAAGAACCGGCGAAAGACGCGTGGAAGGAAGATAAATGAATAGCAGAGATAATCAAGGAGTTTAGTTCGGTGAAAATGGTCGACGAGATCGAAAGACGCTCGAAAATGCTCGAGTTAAGATGAGGAAAATAAATATTAACCCTGAAAGTGATTGATACATTCCATAGTGAAACATCTTTAGAGATGTTCTAAAATAAACACAAAGTTGATATACAAAAAATTCGATTGAGAGTTAGATGTGAGACAGAACAGAATGTATAAGGAATGATAATATTATTTATTCTAAAAAAAAAGAAAAACTGTTTATCGAATTAGATTGACATTTCTTAGAAACGGACAATTAATAGTTTATGAAAATATATTTAATTTTAAAGTTGTCTCTTCAAAAATTATTAGAAGATTGAACTTTACAAATGTTTTTCAAACGTGAAAAAAGATTCGAAACAATGCAAAATGAATAGATAATCGGCCTAAGAGTTAATCCACACTAAAATCGCTTCAGGTATGACATTTTTCTCAATGGAATAATGGTAAAGAAGATGAGTTTAATGTTAAATATACGATGAATTAGTAATCATTCTATTAAATTGCAGAAATGAATATTAGTTTTTCAGTTTTTAAAAATTTACCACTGCAAAAATTCATTTAAAGTCAATATATACATATTTTGAAACCTCTTATTATATAGATTGTCATAAAAGAATATTTATATTTTATCTGAGGATTATGATTATATTTGATTATATGCTATTTGATGTTTTGAAAATTGTAATGCAAATTAATTTAAATGAATGTTATATGATTGTAAAGAAATTGCATATTTTCCAATAAATCATATTTTTTGACGTAAAATCAAAAGTCTTTTTTAATGGAAATCAATTTTTCTTATGGATAATATTCAGATAAATTCAGTGATACGTCAGTGAATTATCTGAATGTCTTTTATTTCTTAGTTATTGATGACCAGTTGTGTGACAGCATTTGAAAAATTATATTGGTATTCTTTTATGATTTTTAAAAAAAATTATTGAAAAGTATTTTATTTATAAAGTTATAATATATGTGAAGCATCGCTTAGATTTCTATCATTTAATAATTTTAAAATTATTTATTTGAATCAAATAGAAACAAGATAATTAATTAAAAAAAAACTTAAAATTTGTAATGAAAATTGTAATGAAAATTAATAGGTTTCTTTAATTTTTTTATAACTATCCTAACATTTATTAATAAAGATATAATATTGATGAGCAAAAAAAAGTTTTTACAAATATTGCAATAAAGAGAAATTATATGCGAATGAGCATAGTAATGTGACTTGTGACGAATGTTATAGTTATTTTACTGATCCATTGACCAAGGATTCTCGATTGATTTATGCTACATAAATCTTTTGGTTTTATCGTTCACTTTGTCTCAAAAGAATATTTACATTTTTTTCAATAATTATATATCTATTCTAATCCTATTGATTAAAATAAATAGCATTTTACAGAACTGTTTAATCCTTTTCCATTTTTTCATTACTGCAAAAACCTCTACAAATTAAAATATAGATTTTACTTTAAAAATCAAATTATTTACTCTTCTATAATCTACGAATTAAGAGAATAGCCTATTTTTTAAAATTCCAAACTTACTTCATATAAAAACTTTTGTCGCCTTTCAATATAATTATATCAGAATCTACTAGTGATTCCATTCAACGTTCTTTCCTTTCTTTCATCTAGAATTGTCTCGAATGTTCGAAAACAAAAGATAACGCTTGCAAATTTTCCTTCTTCGAGCTCTTATAATTAGCGTTAAATTTTACTTGAAAACTTTGAAATTTCTGTGATCACGATGATTTTATTTCTTTTCTTAAGTTTCAAGTTATCGAAGTTCTATCGAACGATTATATTCATAGTATTTTATAATGTATAATATTCTCATAATTATGCAAAAATTAGTACCATTTCACGGATATTCAAATTGCAAATATCTTACAAGAGAGCCAACGTGAATACTAGTACCGCGCAAAAGAAGAAACTAGTCGGGCTAGACTTACCTGGTGGACAGTTGCACTCCGAAACGTCTCGTTTGATCCGAAACACGCTCGTCTCCAACGCAGACCGCTGCACCTCCAACTGTTCCTGAACTTCCCTCTTCAGCCTCTGGATAAGAACGTCCGGCGTTTCTTGAAGCTGACAACGAGTTTCCAAATTGGCGATCCTCGATTCCAATCCCAGTTCCCTGTACATTAGTAGACCGGACACAGCCAAGCTGGTAATACAGAGGGCGCACATCGCCCAATTGAGTGTTGCACCCTCGGTTCGACAGGAATCCTTGCGGAATTTCCTCGGCATCGATGTCTCGAGGGAGCCTTTTCTCGGCGACGACCAGTCGGTCGCCGTGTCGGACTCCATGTTGTACACAGGATCGACACACGCTCTCGCTTCTATTCGTGCACACGCAACGCGTTAAGCGCGCGTCATAACCCACCCAAAGATCGTCGATACGTCCTGACACGGCAATCACGGATAAACGCGATACAATGGAGAAACCACGCGAGTCTTACAGACTGTGCGGCGTCATCGTCCATCTGGAATGCATCTCGTGCGCCCACTTGCCCGTTATTGCTTACCTCTCTTTCTTAGACTCGTTCCTTCTTCTTCTTCTTCTTCTTTTACCTCGCACGAGAGCACGCGTTCTCCTGTATACTCTCTCTCTTTCTATCTCTCTATTACCTTCAAGGAACGCGCTCGTGGCTCTTTCTCTCCTTTTTTATCCCTCCCTCTCTTCTTAGAACAATCGAGGTTCCCAGTTTGACCGCACACTGACGTTGGTAAACAACAAACGATGCCACCAATCAGAACACGAGTGTTCCGCTAAAACGCGCGCTAGTTTTAAATGTTCAAACAGCAATGACAGCGTCCCCCTACCCGACTGTTTCGGAATTAACTACGATCCTATCTAACCACGAGCCAACTTGTTCCTTTAGAAACCTTCTATTTCCGTCTATCTTGCTCTTCGAACGTCTTGTCCTTTCTGTTGCCGTTGCCGGTGCAAATGGAGCATCACCCGGCGCTGTCGCATCGCGATTCCTTCGGCTTTGCGCACTTTCCACACTCTCCTTAATTCGAGATTATCATTAACGGCGAAAAAGATACGATTACCTCGATCATCGGTATTTGCCCTTCGAACGTCTCGTGGCACACGCTTACATTTAGAGAACGTGAGAAACGAAACCGATAAACAGTGGCAGAACTAATCGTCGAAAAACTATTACCATCGAAACAACGAGGAATCTCGGATTTCCTGGGATATCGAGTCAGTCTAACGACGATTCGTTCGACGCGTATTTCATCGATGATTACGGGTTAAACACAACAAGGCTCGATTTATTGAAACGAATGAAAAGTACCGAAATACCGCGAATACGAAGCACACAGCGTGGCATTCGCAGTACGACTGGATGTGGTGGGGCGACGCTGTGCCGAGGGCCGAGGGTTCGTCGCTTCGGCGATATTCGGCCATGTTCGGCCGTCTTCGGGCCTCGACTCATCCACCGGCTGCCGGACGCGTGGAGGACGATCGGTCGACCTAACGTCCACTTCCATTCGCACTGATTCGACCCTGCTTTTCCCTTGCCCTTCCATTTACCCCTCCAATACGCCCCATTCGACTGGATTTCGGCTAGAGGATTTATCTTTTTGTTTTTCCTTCTTTCTGTTAACCGTTCGAATCGCGCGACTACCAGAGCGTGCGAAATTGTGCGAACTTATTTTAAATTCCAACCCTTTCATTCTACGTGGGAGGGCGATGTTAACGGTACGTACACGGCCAAATGAAAAGCTGATCGAGTGCGAAAAATCACTGTCTCTTCGACCGGTTTCTCGATTATTTCGTGGCGATTAATTTTTTTGTAATTCGTAAAATTTGATCTTATTATTTTAAAATTATCTTTAAAACTATTATATCTGGTATATTAGTTGTATGAAATTTAAAAGATGTGTAATTTTTGTATTCTATATAATTTAGAAATTTGATAAAAATCTTTGAATTTTTTTAATATTATTTGCATGAATAATTAGACACAAAAAAGTGACTAAACCAACGAATTCAATGAATTTAATTGTTTATTTACATATTACATTCTGATTAAACATATAAGAGATTAATTTTATAATCTCTATTGTTACTAACGAACCATGTTCTACAAAAAAAAAAAAATCTTCAAAAATGTACATTCCCCTTACCATCAAATTCTCTCCATAAAACTCTGTTTTGTCACGTACGTAATTATTCGACACGTTCGACTCGAACCTAATTACACTACTACGTGTTTTTAAAGCATCTAAACTTTCATTTAAAAAAAAAAAAAAAAAAAAANGAAAGAACACGCGTATTTTTACGCAATAGACAATTGATACGCGTTCAAATATATCCGTTTCCTTTTTTCTTTTTTTTTTTTTTTTTTTTCCGTCAGATGAATTAAACCAATTAAACAGACATCGAATCACGACTTTCACGAGTTGGAACGTGGATCGTGACAGAACGTGGATCGAAACAAAGTTATATCAGGAAATATCGATCGACGAATCGATCGTTTCCCTTGAAACACATCCCCTGTGTGTATACGTGACGGATACGTACAATCGACCCCTTGCTACCGTCCAATCGCTAGCACAGGAAGCGATTATAGACTACATCCTGGAACGTACGTTCGGCTTGTTCGCCCTCTGCGCGTATACTAAATCGAATGCTGCAGCAACCTGCTAATCGTATAACTAATAAGCGGACAAATCGTCGATACACGGAGGAGAAAGGACGGGGGACGAGAGGAATGGCAAAACAAATAGAGGAATGTTAATTGATGTTTCATGGAGCAACATCGATCCATGGTGACGGTCCCCGTAACACGCGTCTAGTTTCACGCCATCAATTTGATCTACAAACAAAAGGAAATATTGAATATCGTGGAATATTATTAATATCGAATCGAATCGAAATTTTTTTTTTTTCGTTGCTTACAGTGAATAGAAAATTTTTAATAGAGAATTTAGTAATAGAAATTATTGAGTGGGTTATTAAATATGTGTTTACGGACAAATATCGATTTTGTATTATAATAAGAAAAGAAAATGTTATAATTAATAATTGATAAGCGAATGAATATTTTATCAAGGAAAATTTGAATCCATTGTTTTTTTTTTTTTGAAAATGACAAAAGGATAATTATGTGAATATATATTGACTTTTGCATCTGAAAAAGAATTTTAATAATACGTATAAACAAATATTTAATTTAATTGGCTCGTTTTAAGGCAAGGTATTATTAAAGAAATATCGAATCTCGAAGAGCAAATAGAAAGCACTAACATTATCCTAACATAATTTTTTTTCCAAACAGTTCAGTGAAGTCATCTAGACGCACTTACTTTCCATTAACGTTATCGAGAGGATATAAGTTAAATGTTGAAAAAGGGAAAAAGTAAAGTTGAAATATACCATGGTCGTTCGTCTTGGTAAAGCATTCCTCCTCGTTGTCGGCCTGAATTTAATCAGAGCCTTTTCGTACAGCTATACATACATCTTATATAGTTTCTCTCGTTTCCTCGGTGAAAGACTAATCGGTGAAAACCATTCGGAACACGCACGAGGAAGAGATCTATCTTTGGCGTTTCAGCAATATCTTACCTTCATTTTTTGGTCCAGAATATCTGGATGTTTTTCTTATCTAGAAAACCGAAGGACTAAGCACCGGAATGCATACGTACGACTCGAATCCTTCCTTTAATGTCCGCACTGGTAATACATAAATTTCCATATTATTTTGTAAATCGTTTCTCTTCAACCTCTTTCGAATGTTAAATTACATGTCTCGATGATTTCCAATATCAATTTCACGTTGCTTCGAACTTGTATTAAAGATAGAGTGCAACGTTACGAAACATAATATCAATTCCATTTGAAATATTATAGGTAACCAAAGAGAATCAGTAGTTTCTTTTATGAAAGAAAAGAAATGTAAAAGAGAGGGAAATCACGCTTTCAGAAATATACAAAAAAAAACATCTTTGAACGTTTCGATAATTGGCCAAGTTTTACGAAAATAAGGTTATATAATCAGATTTTTAAATCTCAAAAATCATTTGCAACTACCCACAGAAATAGCTTTCTAAAGTTTTCTTATTTTTCATGGTTATTTATTTCTCCATTACAAAAGAAGCGATAAAATTTCTCATTTACTCAATATATAAGAACTTTTATTAACGCCCCAATTATCAGAAAATCAATAAATCTTGCGAAAATTAAAAAAAAATGAAGTAATAAAAACTATAAAATATTTACCATATAACAGAATATCTTGTAGAAAGCGTTTCCTTTCAGAAATAGTGAAAAATAAATATTTCATTCCCTTTTTATCTTCATTTTAAATAACTTCATTTGAGGATAAAATTGAGAGTGAAAGTTACTACTATCGAACAATGTCCACTAATAAAAAAAAAAAATACCATCCTCGATTCGTACAAAATTTCCTAATCGCTCAGAAATACGTTCGAAGTATTCATTAAAGAAAATCTAATCCTGTCCAATCGCGCGGAAACATCATCGAGTACGCCTCTCTTCGTCCGTGCAATAACGTCGTACACGAGGATCCCTTACAAAACGTGCTTGAGCAGAGTGCAAGAGCACTCGCGTCCCATCCGAGGCCGGCACCGAATCGACAATGGACCACGGTTGAGAGCCTCTGGTAGCTGTTGCCGCTAGGTTCGAGGGGTGAAGTTGCAGCGTGCGTCGTGATTAAAAAGTCATCGCGGCCGATGCCCTCTTCACGGCACGTTGGTCATCGTTGGGGTGCGGTACGAGGCGCATTATGTCGCGTTTCCGCCAGGAAGCAGGCGCAGTCGGGACGACACAGCCTGCACCTCGTTTCCGTGCGCTTCTCTCCACGGAGAAACGTGGCTTGCGGACACTGCGGATAAGGATGAGAACACGTAGAGTGGAACGGGAGCGAGCGAGAGGGCGCGCGCGATACCCGAACGAGTGAAACGGAGAAAGGGGATCGGGAGTGGTGGGGGGAGGGGACGACCGAGCGAACGACGACGTGAGGTGGTGGGGGAAGGATAGCGTACGTACGAGACACGTTTTCGAGACACTGAAGCAGAGTCTCATTTCGTGGACGAATCCACGCCACCCCCGCGAATGTGTCTGCACGTGTAAAGGGAGGCGAGGGGACGGCCAATGGTGCAGTTTGTATTCCGCTCGACGAAAAATACTCGTTCGTTACAATGTGTACACCGAGACTCGTCCTCGTCGACGTCCTCGACCTTATCTTCCTTCTTCTACCTGCTCCTGCGAACTCTTCTTTGTATTCATAACGATCCCGCTTTGGCAGAGAAGTATCCGATACCGAGGGGTAGATGGTATTTGTAAATACTGATTGCTGTGCCTCTTGACGTCGATTGGAAAACTTTTCGAAGAGAAAATCTTATGTTGGTGGAATTTTGTTAAACAGTGGCCAATTTTTTTTTCTCGAATTATAAGTAAATTCGTTGATGTTGTACAGTAGAAGTAATTTGTAATGGTTATATCAGATGGTTGTGTTATCCTTGTTATAATTCATAACAGGAACTAATGAAAGTAAACAAATGTTTATTAGTCGAAAGGCGAAAAATTAGTTATTATTAACACAAAATTTAATTAACACAAAAAGTCTGCTCTTTTGTTAAATATATAATTAATAAATATTGAATTTCGTATACAGTTTGTTTATTGTAAATTTTCATATTTTAAATTTGAAAGGTTTCTTATTAATATATATATAAGATTTGATCATTTATTGTATGTAAAATAATAGCATCAAACCTGAAATTGGTTAAATTTAATAAACATTTTTTATTTGATAGACAAAACAATTTTGACCTTTTGTGTAATAAATATACAATTTTGCCTTGATCTTGCAATCTTTTAAATTAACGATTTAAATTAATGATTAATTAACAAAATCATAATCATTTTTTTTTGATACAAGTATAAAAGGATAAAATACTTTCTTTTCAATATCAAATCAAAGCAATTTTACAATTATTATTTCCTTAATTTCTAAAAATTATTACTGTATTATTTTATAAGATCACATATATAAAATACATATTTTAAAAACGAATAAATTAAAGCAAAAGTGTATCCATTTAAATCTTTCCATCCTACTCTTCTTCTAAAATTTTAAACACGCTATTAGCATAAAATGGAAATAAAAAAAAAAAAATAATCCCGCATCTCCCACAAAGTTTTCAAAAAAAATTTCTTAAGAATAAGAAGATCGGCTCATAAATAACCGAAAGGATTGAGAATATAAGCTCTTATAAACAGCCCTTTAAGGAAAGGAAAGAAATTACTTTTTCTGATCCCTCGGCAA